TAATATTTATTTATTTATTATTTATACAGTATTCTGTCTGCTTGTATGCCTGCAGGCCAGAAGAGGGCACCAGACCTCATTACAGATGGTTGTGAGCCACCATGTGGTTGCTGGGAATTGAACTCAGGACCTTTGGAAGAACAGGCAGTGCTCTTAACTGAGCCATCTCTCCAGTCCCTCAGGGTTCTTCTTGTTCTCAAACTTCCACATCAAACACAGTCGCACCGATGAGTGCTTACGGTCTCTAGAGGCTAGAGCATGTCTCCAGAGACGCCACATCTCACAGTGCAGTTATTAACAGAACCGTCATTTCATTCACTCTAATGGTGTCCCCAGAAGATGGGGACACCCTCTAGCCTGAGATGGAGGGCAGCTTAGTAATCCTACATGTTTACAGGTCACTCTAGCTATGACATGGGAAGTCAGTACGCAAACACAGATGTCCAAAACTCATCAACTCTCTTAGTGCCGGGCAAGCAAAGGAGCAGGCCTGCAGTGACAAGGCAAACCTTTGACATCGATACCCAAGGAACAAGAGCGTTTGCTGCCGCTTTTCTCCTACACACGACAAAGAACCAACCCGAGACCAGCGCTGTGGGAGAGTCGCACGAATGAAAGCATAATCTGGAATGTTCCAGATAGCAGCATTTTCATACTGTTTGTATTTTAAAATGAACTTTCAGCTCGCCGAGATTCACGCGCTCCGAATAACTGAGAGAGGCTCACCCAGAACCACGATGGCCAGCTTCTGGAAGGCATCTGCCAAAGCGCTTTGGATTGCGAGCTTCTGTGCTGTCTTCCTCTTCATCAGAAACGAGGACTGTCCTGGAGCCAACCACACAGACGGATTTCACATACCTGGAAGGGGACTGCCGAGGGGCTCTGTGTTTGCTGTAGAAGCAGGAGGACCAGTGTTTGCATATGATGCCTGTGTAACAGCTGGGCCTGACCCTGTGCATGTCTGCAATCTCCCAGCAGTGAGTGGGGCCGAGACAGGGGGCTGCTATCTTCTAGCTGGCCAAAAAGAAAGACAAGTGCCAGGTTCAGGGAGAGCCCTTACCTCGAATGAATAAAGAGGAGAGTACACCCAACACCTTCTTCTGGCTTCTGGGCTTACACACACAGGCCCACACACCTTATCTGCACACACACATTCGCAGACACTACACACAAATGCATCAAAATAAAAACATAAGCCGGGCGATGGTGGCTCACGCCTTTAATCCCAGCACTCGGGAGGCAGAGGCAGGTGGATCTCTGTGAGTTTGAGACCAGCCTGGTCTACAGAGCTAGTGCCAGGACAGGCTCCAAAGCCACAGAGAAACCCTGTCTCGAAAAACAAAAAACAAAAAACAACAACAACAAAAAAACATAAGTAAATACTTACACGGATAGCAGTTATTCTCTGTTTAAAAAGGAAATTCACTCATGACTCCGTCTGAGATCACTGTTTGGGTAACTAAAGGTGTGCACAGAACGAGGAGCTGCCGGATGGCTCTGCTGAGCGCACATAACGACAGGGCCCATTATCTTACAGCCTGGTGTGTTCTGAAATTTCTCATGTAGTAACTATGGGGTCCAAATGAGGAACGAATACAAGGCTCCTATCACTGGCCAGTTCCAAAATGACAGACGGGTGCTGGACTCACACCAGCAAGGTCAGGTGATGGTGCTGATGACTGGCTCTGTCTATCCAGCAGTCTCAGGAGTCCACCCCACACCCTCCAATAACACTTTATATCTGACTTGGACCCCTCATGCTGAGAACCATGAAGCCTAGAAAAACAAACAAACAAACTAGGGGCTGGAGACGTGGCCCAGAGGTTAAGAGCACTGGCCATTTTTCCAGAGGTCCTGAGTTCAATTTCCAGAAACCACATGGTAGCTCACAACCATCTATAATGAGATCTGGTGCCCTCTTCCGGCTTCTAGGCAGAACACTGTATACATAATAAATAAATAAATCTTAAAAAACTTAAAAAAATCAATTGGAGTAGCTTTTCACATTGGCTTTTTTTGTCTGTTCGAGCCATTCCATTAGTAGGTAAAGGACTGAGTGCCTATACAGAAGTTTATGGCAATGTTAATAATAATAAATGATGCGTCTGTGTGTGTTTCTCTGTGTCACTAGTACAGGTGCCTGAGGAGAAGAGAGGCGTGAGACCCTACTGGATCTGCAGTGACAGGTGGGTTCAGCCACCCGACGTGGGTCCTTTGCAAGAGCAGTCTGTTCTCTTACACTCTGATCCACTTCTGCCGGGACAGCTGAAGGCTGAGATAAAGGACTCTGACCAATTATTTCAACACAAAGCAAGTCCTTAACCAAAAACAACAGGCACAGGAGTTCCCGCCTCCCCTAACCTCAGGACAGGAGGGCAGTTCTACTGTGAATGTAAGGGTTTTGTCAGGCACGTGCTTACATGAAAAATCTACATTATAAGGCATAAAAATTCTGCCTAGGACTTCAGTAGTTTGGCGATGAAAGGGCCTGACTAGTAGCTGACAGAGTGAAGAGATGGAAGAAAAGACAGAAGGACAGAGAGACACACTCCTGCCGCCCTCCCTCCGCTGAGAACAGACCTTCCTCCTCCGGCTGGTGCAGAGGCTCCTCGGCGATGCCGACTCCGGGGCTCTTGCACCCGTAGGGCGGCAGAACCACCTCTACAGCACAGAAGAACTTGAGGCTCCGCTTCCGCACAGGCCCCGTGAGAGCCCCGTCCTCCAAGCCAGAGAGCTCCTGCAGCTGGGAGGGGTTGGATTCAAGCCCTTCTAGGATTTCATTACCTCTGAGACCCAAACCCACGGTTTCACCGCTGCTAGGCCAGCTCTCCACCACTCAGCCCCGTCCCCACCTTGCCTAAGATTCCAATGGAGAAACAAAAAACTAAATCCCAGCTCCCAGCTAACAGCTGGAGCATGCTAGAGCTTCTAGAGCAAGTAAGATTTGCAGAAGAATGCCATTTTAGGCAGTCAAGTCTTACTAAACACACAGACACTGGGGAAACCATGGACTCCATCAGCCAGTGAACTGGGAAGGGTTTTCCTAATTCTCAGACACGTCCACCTATCCTCACCCTTGCTGGCCCCTGACGTCCTCCCCGAAGTCTAGGATTCTAATGTGGAAGGAGATCCACTTACCCTGATGATCCTTTTTGACCATCCATTGAAGCCAAAGTAGTAATTCGCCAGTTCTTGGCACCGTGAGCTGTTTAGGGCAAAGGTCTGGTGCCGCAGTGCTTTCTGTCTGGTGCTGAGACGAACCTGCAGTCAGGAGAGACCCAGAAATAGCACAGCCTGCAGAGTCTAACTTGGAGATACCTGAGGTCAATCAGTTCCAGCTCCATAAGTGACAGTGAGGGTCAGGTGGATGGAAGGATGGCCTCAGTCCTGCATCAGAGTGAGCCCCAAGGGCTGGAGAGATGGCTCAGAGGTTAAGAGCACTGGTTGCTCTTCCAGAGGTCCTGAGTTCAATTCCCAGCAACCACATGGTGGCTCACAACCATCTGTAATGAGATCTGGCGCCCTCTTCTGGTGTGTGTGCAGGCATGCAGGCTAAATAAATAAATATTTAAAAAAAAAAACAAAAAACAAAGTGACCCCCAAACACGTGCTATTTGCCCATCTAAGCCTCAGTGCTGTCCTCCGTCATTTTTAGGATCCCTGGTTAAGTGGCAGGTTGCCCGGGGGGCTGGGGATAGAGCCCAGTTGGTGGGGTGTTTGCTTGGCATACAGGAAGTCAGTGGTTCAAGCCTGAGCACTGGTGAACTGGGTGTCGAGCAGAAGAAAATAACTGAGAAGCCCTGCAGAAAGAGTCAGGTTGTGAGTTAGCATGGATATTGTTCCGGGTTTCCCATCTAGTAGTTGCTGCTTGAGATTATGACCCAAGAACACGGAGATGAGATGAGATGAACCTTCAGCCACCCAGCTCCAAGTCAACAACCCCTGTCACAAGTTGGGCACCTAGATACAGGGTTGGGTACTGTGATCACATGTGAGTCACAGGCATGCCTGGTGCCCAGGCTGAAAGGGAATATGGAATCCCTAGGAACTGTAGTTACTAGAAGTGATTACGAGCCATCATGTGGGTGCTGAGAATCAAACTTGGGACTTCCGGAAGAGCAGGCTTAGTGACCGAGCCATCTCTCCAGCCCCGGTTTCTTAACTGTTATTTCCTTGACCACTCTATCAAAACCTGAGCCTTATGAAATGGTGTCATTGTCCCAAGGGCACTGGAAACTTTGTAATCTTCCCAGTACTACATACAATATCTACCTGAGACATGGTCACAGGCTAAAAACAAAGTCCAATCATTAAAGGACGACTGACAGGCGATCACTTCAGTGCTCGGAAGTGGATGATCTAGGAGAGAAGAAGGTCCTGAACAGTGTACAGAGTAGAGATAATATGCTTGGAATCACTACTGACTAGAATTCTCCGATTCAATCAAGGGTCAGTGGAGGAGGAAAGCAATAGGGACGAGAGTAGACCAGACCATGGGTCAGCAGCAAGTAGGCTGATCAAGGAGCCTGTCAGAAACTGAGATGCACAGGTAGTGGAAATGAGATGTTGTCCTGCGGCTCTGAGCAAGTTACGTGGTTTGCTGTTAATATGGAGTGGAGGTTAATAAGGATTCTTCTAGAACCTGAGGGGGTTCTGGACAGGCTGTTTGAGAATGAAGCATCCGTCATGTTACAGCTATCCGTTTATCAAACTCACATTTTAAATCCAAATAAAATAGAAAACGCTTATGAATATCTCTTAAATTTTAGGGCAACATAACGACGAGTGATTTTCATCGTTACACTTGGGTTTGATCAGTTACTATCATGATGAACCTTGTATTACCAGCCATCCCGAGTTTGAGTTTCTTCATCTAGGAATGCTGTAGGCTCAGCGAAAACGCACCTGAAAGCGCCCTGTAAAACCAGAGAGCCGCACAAAACGCTAGCACAAAACTTCATTCCAGATCCCGCATTTGCACCCACCTTCACGGGCGAAGTCTGAAAAAGAGGCTTCCCGTCACATGCCTTTTGGGCTTTCTGCGCGTCCCTCGATGAGTAAAACTTGATGATGGCATAGAAACCAGGGCGAGCCACGGCAGCGTTCGGGAAGACTCGGACTGAATACAGAAGGCCAAACTGGGAGAACACTGCGGACAGAGAACGCTGTGGGAGGTCCACGACGTGAGTGCTCATCTCCAGCCACCGAGAAAACCCAGCTCCCACGAGTCTCCGCCCTCTCCACGCGGAGCACTTGTCCCCGCAGGAACAGGGGCTTCCTCCGAGGAGACAAGCGCGGGTGGCTAAGGGCGCACGCGTGGCTCACCAACAACCGGGTCCCCCTCCGCGCGAGCCCCGTCCGGTTCCCTCCTCCCTTCCCTCCGCGCGGCCACTCACAATTAAGGCCTCAGCTGGGGGACCGGCGCTCAGCTCCCACACCAACAAAACTTTGTCACTCTGGGTGGGAACCGCGAAAGAAATAAACTCCGCCATGGTAAGGCCACTGCGCCTGCGCAACGAACTACCGCGAACTTCGAATTAGGAGCAGCAAAGAAGGGGCGGCGCTAGATGAGGACGGGGCGGAGCCCAGCCTCCACGGCTTTCGCTTTCCTAAAATTTAACACAGAGCAGGTATTTCAGTGCCATTGTCTTGCTATACACCACACACATATTCGGACACACCCTACTGGGTCTACGTGACATCTTTTTGTTGTTGTTTTGATTTTTGCTTTTCGAGACAGGGTTTCTCTGTAACTTTGGAGCCTGTCCTGGAACTAGCTCTGTAGACCAGGCTGGGCTTGAACTCACAAAGATCCGCCTGCCTCTGTTCTTTAAATGAACAACGTTAACTTATTCTCATATCTGCAATGTCGCATAATACAATTACCATTATGTACCTAGGCACCAAGCTTAAAGACAGAATCCAATCCGGTTTAACCATAACCACTAGAAGCAAAGAGTTTAAAGTCAGTTACCTGTGTAGAGACCAAATTCCTAACCAAGCCACTAGCCTCCCATGTTGTTTAATTGACTGGCTTTAAACATACTGCTTACAACGAACGGGAACACGGGAACATATGGCAGTATGATCACACTTGTGCAGTAATCTCTGATCCTAGGAAAACCAGCCAAGAC